GATAAAACTGTATCTCTGGTATTAGCTCTCCTCTAGGCATAGGCCCCTAAACTACATTGTGTTGAGCAGTTAAGGGGAGGGGCAAGGAGTTTCTGAGTCTGCTGGGTCTTCATTGCCTTCAGCTCAAAACTATCCATATTCCAAAGGGGCACAATTGGGGGGAGATGCAGTCCACTCCACCTCGCATCTCTTTTAACAACCTTTCCACTAACTTTTAAAAAGTAAGTAAATAATTGACTATGCGGCATCCTTGTTGCTGCGTGCAGGCTTTCTCTAATTGTGGCGAGCAGAACTACTCTCTGGTTTTGGTGTGCAGGCTTCTCATTGTGGGGACTTCTCCTGTTGCAGAGGACGGGCTCGAGGCACAGAGGCTCAGTAGTTGAGGCTCGCGGGGCCCAGAGAACAGGCTCAGCAGTGTGGTGCCCCGGTTTAGTTGCCCCTCAGCATGTGGAATCTTCCTGGGCCAGGGATTGAACCTGTGTTCCCTGCAGTGTTTAAACTCTTAAATACTGTGCCACCAGGGAAGTCCCTTCCAGTAACTTTGAAACATGTTAAAAGTCTCCTTTATATTTGAAGAAGCCAATGCTCAGAGATGGAGAACTTGCCCCAAATTGGACTCCCAGGGCCAAGGGCGGATGGATATTTTTCATGGCTTGGCATCTTCCTTTCTCAGCAGATCACAGTTCCTCAACTCCATCTAGGATGCGGTGTCAGGATCCCCGCCAGTGTGGTCAGAAGCTGATCCGCAGGCTGCCCCTGGAGCCCAGGAAGTGGTCTGAGATTCCCATGACCCGTCATCTGAACATCTTCCACCTGGTGGTCTTGGGTGTGGGCAGCACCCTGGGGGTTGGCGTGTACATCGTGGTTGGAGAAGTGGCCCTGTTCGTTGCTGGACCAGCGATCATCATCTCCTTCTTGGTGGCTGCCCTGTCTTCTGTGTTATCTGGGCTCTGCTATGCTGAGTTTGGGACACGGATAAAGTGGACCAGTTCTGCGTATCATTATAGCTACATCAGCGTGGGAGAACTGTGGGCCTTCATCGCTGGCTGGAACCTCATACTGTCCTATGTCTTTGGTGAGATGATGGCTGGTGAGAAGGTGTGGGGTTGAAGACCAGGAAACTGGGAGTGGGGATTTGGTCTTCAGTCATTCATGAGCACTTTGTTATCCACTTTGTGAGGGGAGGAGACTAATAGTGTCAGGAAAACTCCACAACTTCATTCTACTCAGCTCTCCCCTGCTTTCCTTAAATGATGGACCCAGAATCCAGAGGAAAGGGAACCATGGGGAGTGGGTGAGAGCGAGACATGGCCCACAGGCTCATCCCCTCACCATACTGGATTCTCTGCTCTGCTTTTGCCTTCATGGAGTTTCCATTAGCACTGGATTTAAAATTTTAATCCTTATCTACCAGACCTCTTGCTCCCTCATCCCTGTTTTCTTGCATAACATTGATCTCCCAATAAAATACTTAATAATTGACCTATTTTGTAATCATCTGGGTCTACCCTCCCCACTTCATGAAAAGAAATTGCTTGATGTTTGACATTTTGTAATTTTCCTCCCCAAATACATTCCATGGTGCATTCAGTTCAGTTCAGTTCAGTCGCTCAGTCGTGTCCGACTCTTTGCAACCCCATGGATTGCAGCACATCAGGCCTCCCTGTCCATCACCAACTCCCAGAGTTTACTCAAACTCATGTCCATCGAGTCGGTGATGCCATCCAGCCATCTCATCTTCTGTCGGCCCATGGTGCATAGAGGGATTCAATTCATGTTTATCAATGAATGTTTCTTCTCCTCCTGCAGCCACTGCAAGTGTGTCCAAGGCCTGGAGCTACACCTTTGATGGCCTGATCGGGAACCACATCTCTCAGGCATTACAGAGAGCCTTCTCTCAGTATATGCCCGACTACCTGGCCGGGTACCCAGACTTTATTGCCCTGGCCGTGGTGCTGCTCCTCACAGGTGAGACAGGGGTCAGAATTAGGATGGGAAGAGAGGTGTGTGGTGGAGGAGCTGAAAGGCTTGGGATGGCAGAATCGTGGGGGATTAGAACTTGGAATAAAGTTGTGGGATATGGCTTCCCTGGTGGCTCAGTGGTAAAGAACCTACCTGCCAATGTAGGAGATGTAGTTTCAATCCCTGTGTCAGGAGGACCCCCTGAAGGAAGAAATGGCAACCCACTCCAGTGTTCTTGCTGGGAAAATCCATGGACAGAGGAGCCTGGTGGACTGCAGTCCATGAAGTCACAAAGGGTTGGACACAACTGAGCAACTGAGCACGCATGCACAATCCATCCACCAAGAAAGGTCTGGGGCAAGAGAGACAGGAAGACAAGACATAGACTGTTGTTTCCCACTCTTGGCACTACCAACCTTCTAGACTGGAACAGCTTTCAGTATTGGGGGCTGTCCTCTCCATTGTTGTTGTTGTTGTCAGTTTCTAAGTCAGGTCCAACTCTTTGTGATTCCATGGACTACAGGCTTCCCTGTCCTTTACTATCTCCCAGAGGTTACTCAAACTCATGTCCATTGAGTCAATGATGACATCCAACCATCCCATCCTCTGTTGCCCACTTCTCCTTTTGCCTTCAATGTATCCCAGCATCAGGGTCTTTTCCAATGAGTAGGCTCTTTGCATTGTAGGATTTTCTTAATTTTATCATTGCCAGATATATAGCATTCCTGGACTTTCCTCACTAGATACCCTGCCTATCTAGACATTATGCCTATCTCCCAAGTAGTGACAATGACAATCAAAATGTCTCCAGACATTGGCAAACATCCCTAGGGCACAAAATCAACCCCCATTGAGAATCATTTACTTTGACAAGTTTCTTCCTCTGTATCGAGACCAAAGATGTTTTTAATTGGGAAATAATTCACAGAGCATAAAATTAACCATTTTACTATCTTTCTTCGGCTTTATTGAGATATAATTGACATGCAACATTGTATAAGTTTAAGGTGTTAGGTGTATATATTGTGAGATGGTTGCAACAATAAAAAAATTAACCTTCTGAAAGTATACAATACTGTGGCACTTAGCACATTCACAACATTGTACAACCATCACCTCTATGTAGTTCCAAACATGTTCATCACAACAAAGGAAACCCTGCACCCACTGAGCAGTCACTGTCCATCCATATGTCCCAATCCCACAACCCCCAGCCCCTGGTAACCACTTGTCTGTGTTCTGTCTCTATGGATTTTGTTATTTTGGATTTCATATTCCATTTTTCCCACAGGGGCACTTGCTCTGGTTGCTCGTGAGTCACTTCTGGTTACCAGAGTGTTCACAGGCATCAACATCTTGGTTCTCATCTTCATCATCCTCTCTGGCTTCTTTAAGGGAGACCTGCACAACTGGAAGCTCACAGAACAGGACTACACATCCATCACACCTGGATTGGGTGGCATTTCTAGGTTAGGGTGGTACCCTTGACCTTAGTAATGCATGGGCTGAAGGGTGCAGAGCTGGGACTAAGAGACCAGGGCTGATGGATCCAAATGATGAGGGTCTAGAGCCCAGGACTTATAGTATTAACTGAGGATTCCAGTAGAGATGGCTGAACACACTTCACCCATGTTCTTCCTTGTTCCTTCTCTCACCATAGCTTGGGTCCTCTGGGTTTTGGAGGATTTGTGCCATTGGTCTTGATGGAATTCTCCGTGGAGCAGCGATATGTTTCTATGCACTTGTTGGTTTCGATGCCATTGTCACTAAAGGTAGCATGGTCATTATGTGTCCCATCAGGGGTTTGGGGATAGATTGGGCTGCCCCTTGGGCACAGGGGTGGGTAGAAGTTTAGGCTTATTTTCATGGTACAAGAAGGAGAGGGATTTTGTGCTTTCATCCCAGTGTGCTTTCCTGACCCAGCACCTCCATCAATGTTGCAGAGGAAGAAGCACTAAACCCTCATCGTTCCATCCCCTGGAGCATCTTGATCACGATCTTCATCTGCTTTCTGGTGTATTCTGGTGTCTCAGCAGCACTCACCCTCATGGTGCCCTACTACCAGATTCACCCTGAGAGCCCCTTGCCACAGGCTTTTCTCTACATTGGGTGGGACGTTGACAGATATGTCGTGGCTGTTACCACCCTCTGTGCTCTTACATCCAGGTCAGTGTCATAGTTTTCTCCCCATCTACGGTCAGATGCTCAGGTTCCCAACACTTTAGGATTGAGAGACAAGAGATAAGGACAGTTTACACCTTGTAGACCAGGGAGCAGGTGCCCCAGTCTGTCCTCATGTTCCTATTTTTCCTTCCAGGCTCCAGAGCATCTTCTTCCCCATACCCCAGGTGATCAGGGATATGGCACGTGATGGGCTCCTTTTCCGGGGACTTTCCCATGTCTTTGCTCACACAAGAACCCCCATCATGGCCATCATGTCTTCTGGAAATATTGCAGGTGGACAACAAAACCCACTCCTTCTTTGGTCAACTTCCTTAGCTTGAGTACTTCCTCCAATTTCTCCCTCCTTCCACCATCTTTTTTTGCCTTCATTCTAGGGCTTTTGGCATTGCTCTTTAAGTTCAGTGACCTTGTGGACCTCATGTCAATTGGGAATCTGCTAGTTTACTCCCTGGTGTCTTTCTCTGTGCTTGTCCTCAGGTGAGACTCCATTGCATCTTGACTGGGGTCTTGGACTCAGGGGGATTGATGCGGAAGTAATCATCTTCTGCCTTCATAAATTGAAGTGAATGAAAGTCACTCAGTCATGTCCAACTTTTTGTGACCCCATGGATTATACAGCCCATGGAATTCTCCAGGCCAGAATACTGGAGTGGGTAGACTTTCCCTTCTCCAGGGATCTTCCCAATACAGGAATCAAACCCAGACCTCCCACATTGCAAACACCTTTTAAATGTCTTCTTCTAAATCTATCTTCATGCCACCTTCTAAATGTTCTTCTATGCTTAAGGCAAGAGAGAGGTAATGTTGGATGAGTAGGGGCTTCTGTTAACACTGCCTTAATATCTCTAATTCAGGTACCGATCAGAACAGACTTTAAGCAAGAAGGAGGAAATTGATATTTCAAAACATGAAGCAAGTCCTTCAGAACCAGTACCTGAAGCAAGAATCTCAAGGATTCTGAAGACTCTGTGGTTCCCTACCAGCACCATCCCCACTCTGAAGTCTGGCCAGATTGTCTATGGATGTGCCTCCCTGCTTGGTGAGCAGTGGGATTTCTCTTTGGTCGTATTCTGAGACTCACAGGAGGTGTGGGAGTGTGCATTTTGTCAGTTGAGGAGTCTTGGAGATACGATGGCCCTTCCTGAGGTGGGCACCTGGTTGGGGGGGGGGGTGACCCGAGGTCCTGACATCTTTGGCTTCTCAAGTCCAGCCTGTTCTCCTCCACCTTGACCCTTGCAAGTTCTCCTGCTGACCATCCTGAGTGTGATCCTGGCCCAGTGGCCCAGCCAGGTGTTCTCTGGAGACCCCGGGCTCACAACAGTGACTGTGCTGCTGCTGCTGCTCATCACTGGGGTCACAGTCATCATCTGGAGGCAGCCCAAGGACCCAGCTCCTGCGTACTTTGAGGTAGATGACCTTATGTGCCTAAACTGTTCACCTTGAATGAATGAAGTCTGCAGGCTTTGAAGTCTAAACATCCTTTGCTGGCCCAAAGAAGAGAAGCTGCTAAAACAAATGGATGCTTCCCTGATCCACACTCAGTGCTTTACATACACAATGTCAGTGGGCACTGAATGCACAGCCTGAAAAAGACTAGAGTCTTCCCACCGATCTGGGGTAGGATCTCCCTTTCAGACATCTGGGGTGTGTTAAAAAATTAAATGATTCTGCTCACAGGTCCCTGCTCTGCCTGTCCTCCCACTGGTGAGCATCTTTGTGAATGTTTACTTGATGATGCTGATGACCCCGAGGACTTGGACCCAATTTGGAATCTGGAATGCAATTGGTAAGTGGTTTTCTGGGATAAAGAGGCCCCTTAGGTGATTGAACCCAATCCTGTTTCTACCACCTCTCCCCTAAATTGTGTCAGACACCATAATAGGAGACCATTTTGCATTTGTAAGTGAGGAGAAGCCCTACTTTCCCTTCTCATTGTCTCATTTCTCTACTAGGATTTCTCATATACTTTGGATATGGGATCCGACACAGCCTAGCAGGGAACAATCATCAATAGCCACCAGCCTCCACCTCCCAGACTTGACAAAAACATCCATGATGCTGAGCCATCTTAACCACAGGAAGTAGATGCTATATGGAATCCCTACATGCCCTGGAGGATCTTCTGTTTCAAGGGGCACTGTGAGCCTCTATGGACTGTGAAGGCAGATGCACTTAGAGCCCTGTATTTTATTGTTCATAGACATAGTGACTGTAACATTGCATAAATTTTAAATAAACTTTTTAAAATTCATCAAGTGCAGCAAGATGAATTTTCACAAGGAAATTACGATGTAAGCAGCAAGAAGAAGAAGAAATAAAATACTCACCTGCACATAAGAGTTCCTCCTGCCTCTTTCCAGTAAAAACACCAGGGACTCCCACATGGGAAGGAAATTCAGGTAACAATATATGTGTCCGGTATTGCACTTGAAATATTAGGACACAAATATATTGGAAGTAAAATGAAAAGAACAGGTACATTGTGCAAACAATAACACAAGAAAGGTAGCACGGCTACATCAATATCAGACAAAGATGACCTTAAGGAAAAGAGAGTAATAACAGGTTAAGTGGATCCTTTCATAATGAGAAAGGGATATGCTCATTTGTGCCTTTCCTCTGGCGTTACTGAGATATAGTGTCAATAGTGAAGATAATCATTTTTCTTGACTTTTCTGTCTCAGACTCTTAGAGCTGCACAGTAGATTTGATTAGGAAAAATTCTTAATTGGGAAAAAATCTGCACTGCCAGAGGTGGGTCAAAGGGTTTGTTGCAGTAAGGGTTTGTTGATAAACGTTGGGTAAAACTGAAAAATAGGAAGTGAAACTGAAAAGACAAGTTTAAGCTGTTGAAGGACAGAATGCTTGACATGGAGATTATGAACAATGAAAACAGTGGTTATAATGAAGTACAGGGTTGGTTGTGGGGTTGAGAAACTGAAATAGAGTGAAGGAGGGATGAAAGTCAAGAAACTGAGTAGCGGGCTTCCCTGGTAGCTCAGTGGTAAAGAATCTGCCTGCCAATGCAGGAGACACAGGTTCGATCCCCGGTCCAGCAAGATCCCACATGCCATGGAGCAACTAAACCCCTGGGCCACAATTACTGAGCCTGTACTCTACTGCCCATGAGTTGCAACTATTGAAGCCTGCATGCCCTAGAACCTGAGCTCTGAAACAAGAAAAACCACCACAATGAGAAGCCTGTGCACTGCAGCTACAGGAAACCCCGTTCATCAATGAAGAACCAGATCAGTCATAAATAAACAAATGAATAAAATTATTTTTTTTAAAGAAATGGAGTAGAAAACTCATGAGATGATATAAAACTAGATGGAAGATGGGACCTCGCCAGTGGTCCAGTGGTTAAGAATCTACTTGCCAATGCAGGAGCCACAGATTTGATCCCTGGTCCGGGAAGATCCCACTTGCCATGTAGCCGGTGGGCCACAGCTACTGAGCCTGCACTCTAGAACCTGGAAGCCATAACTCCTGAAGCCTGCATGCCCTGGAGTCTGTGCTCTGCAGAAAAAGAAACCACTGCAATGAGGAACCTATGCACCACAACTAGAGAGGAGCCCCTGCTCATCACAACTGCAGAAAAACCTACGCAGCAACAAAGACCAAGAATAGCCAATAATAAATAAATAAAACAATAATTTAAAAAAGAAACTGAGTAGCAAGTTATTAGATGAATTAAAACTAGATGGAACACGGGACTTCCCCAGTGGTCCAGTGGTTAAGCATCTGCCCTCCAATGCAAAAGACATGAGTTTGATCCCTGGTCAGGGAACTAAGATCCCATATGCTGGGGGGTGACTGAGCTTGCACACCACAGCTAGAAAGAAGCCTGCCTGCCACAGGGAGAGTCTTCACACCACAATGAAGGACTCCAGGTGCCACAACTGAGACCCAACACAGCCAAATTAGAAAAATAGCAAATATCTTTTTTAAAATAGATGGAGGAGGTTGAACAGAAGTAGGAAAATCACCAAATTGAGAGTCGTGATGAAAATAAAGGCATAGAATCCAAGTCATGGAGACTGAAACTGCTAGTGAAACTTTGATAGAAGAGATTGACCTCACCTGATTATCATCCTTCCCTTACTTCCGGGACAACCGGATATCCTGTGCTACTCCATGTGCGGTGATAGGCAAGACTCGATGAAAAGTTGAATTAGAATGTAGTCAAGCTTCCAGATCAACCACCAGTTCATGGCGGACAGGAGGGATAGATTCACATTTCAACTGAAAGTGCCATTAACTGAAACCAGAATGTAAGTAATTCTCCAGGAAAGAAAATGGAGCATTTTCATAACTATTGAATGGTATGGGGAATTCCCTGGTGGTCTAGTCATTAGGGCTCTGTGCTTCCACTGCAGGGATTGCGGGTTCTGTCCCTTATGGGTGACCTAAGATCCCACAAGCTGCACAGCACAACCAACAAAATAAAGTAAGTGATATGACCCAAATTGGAGATTCATTCATTAATCAAATACTATCACCCGCATAGGCATACTTTGGAAATACCTCTGGTTGAGTCCAGACAACCCAATAAAAAGAACTGGCAATAAACAGAGTCATATACAAATTTTTTAGTTTCCCTGTGCTTGTAAAAGTTATGTTATACTACACTCTACTCAGTGTGCAAGAGTATTCTGTAAAAAAATAATGTACATACCTTGATTTTAAAATATTTTTTAAAATGTGGTAAACATACATTGATGGCTAATTCATTTCAATGTATGACAAAAACCACTGCAATGATGTAAAGTAATTAGACTCCAACTAATAAAAATAAATGGAAAAAAATAAATAAATAAATAAAAATAATAAATAAATAAAAAATTAAAAAAAAATAAAATGTGGTAAACACTAACTTCAGTGGCCACAAATCTTCAATTTTTTTAAAAAAAAGAAGAGAAGAAAAGAAAAAGAATCATTATCTGGAAAGTACAAAAAATTAATTATGGGTGTACTTGTGATTGTATCTGTACATAGTAAGATATGTATATATGTATAATCAACATGCATAAAATACGTATCTATCTAACATATATGTATTAAATATACATTTTAAAATGCTCTCTGTTTCTATGAAATTCACTACCTGTAGGTGTCTTGCATTTTTTTTTTCATTTATTTTTATTAGTTGGAGGCTAATTACCTTACAACATTGCAGTGGTTTTTGTCATACATTGAAATGAATCAGCCATGGATTTACATGTATTCCCCATCCCGGTCCCCCCTCCCACCTCCCTCTCCACCTGATCCCTCTGGGTCTTCCCAGTGCACCAGCCCCGAGCACTTGTCTCATGCACCCAACCTGGCCTGGTGATCTGTTTCACCCCAGATAATATACATGCTTCGATGCTGTTCTCTTGAAACATCCCACCCTCGCCTTCTCCCACAGAGTCCACAAGTCTGTTCTATACATCTGAGTCTCTTTTTCTGTTTTGCATATAGGGTGATCGTTACCATCTTTCTAAATTCCATATATATGTGTTAGTATACTGTAATGGTCTTTATCTTTCTGGGTTACTTCGCTCTGTATAATGGATGAGGAAGCTGTGGTACATATACACCATGGAATATTACTCAGCCATTAAAAAGAATTCATTTGAATCAGTTCTAATGAGATGGATGAAACTGGAGCCCGTTATACAGAGCGAAGTAAGTGTCTTGTATTTTTATTTGCTAAGTCTCTCACCTCTTGGTTTCTGTGTATACTCCCTGCATTCTAATCCTCTTCTTATGAAGACATCAGTCACACTGAGTTAGGACCCTCATTGGTCCATTAGGACCCTCTAGTGACCTCATTTAAGTTTAATTACCTCTTTCCGGCCCAATGACCAATACAATCACATTCTGTGTTTCCTGGGGATTAGGATTTCAACATATGAATTTGAGAGCAGGGAGATGCATTCAGCCCACCACACTTTTGACACTATTTTCTTCCCAGCAGCCAAAATAGTGTCTGGAATACAGACATCAACTATATTTGATGAGATATGTGATAAAAGAATCACATGTACATATAATATTTTATGTGCCCCCAAACAGAAAATTTTATTTAGCAGTTGTTATCAAGGGGGATGCACAGTATTTGTCTGGGAAGAAAATATCTGTGAAACTAATTGAAAAGGAAAATGAGAGTTTAGAGCTTGGGCTAATCTATGAGCTATGGTTTTTCCAGTAAGTCATGTACAAATGTGAGAGTTTGACCATATAGAAGGCTGAGCACTGAAGAATTCATGCTTCAAATTGTGGCACGGGAGAAGACTCTTGAGAGTCCCTTGGACTGCAAGGAGATCAAACCAGTCCATCCTAAAGGAAATCAGACCTGAATATTCATTGGAAGGACTGATACTGAAGCTGAAACTCCAATACTCTGGCCACTTGATGTGAAAAACTGAATCCTTGGAAAAGACCCTGATGCTGGGAAAGATTGAAGGCAGGAGGAGAAGGGGATGACAGAGGATGAGATGGTTGGATGGTATCACTGACTCGATGGGTATGAGTTTTGCAAGCTCTAGGAGATGGTGAAGGACAGGGAAGTCTGGCATGCTGCAGTCCATGGGGTCACAAAGAGTTGGACACAACTGAGCATGCATGCAACACAACACATAATGAAAGAATCCCATATACATAAAAAGCTCTTACAGATCAACATTTCTTCTGGACAGAAGAAATGATTAGACATTTTTCCAAGGAGGAAATGCAGACGGCCAACAGGCACATAAAAACAGGCACATACTCTGTTGAAGCATGGTTTCCAGCACAGTCTTATACCTCATCCAAACATAGTACATACATCAACATGACAGGGTGTATTCCTTCAAGATTTAAAGAGAGAGAGACTTAGTACAGAGACAGCAAAAGCAGTTCCCTGCTGTCTGGTAAGGGAAATTTATCTCACAGGGAGTGTTAACATGGAGGCCATGAGAAGGGAGTTATTCATCCTTATCTTCAAAACAGATGCTCTTTACCTCAATGGTTAAAGCAAATGAGCTGTGA